TTCTTCTTTACCATCCTTTCGATACCAGGAATACAAGTCCCTTTTAACACCAGAATTATAACTAATAGCTATGGAAGGCATTGAAAATGTAAGAAGAAAGACTACTGTGGCCAGCCTACCCATCAAACTTCTCATTGTGTGAAATAAACATGGCAACTCAATCCCAGAAGCAGTGGAAGAGCATGTTTGTGACTAATACCAGTCCTCAATCAGGTGAAAGTGTGGACTTTGAGAGCAAAAAAGCCTTCCCCTCGAAGGAAAATGGTTGAAGGCTATTATTTTCAGAGGATCAGAGAGAAAAATTTACAGCACCATCCTATGTATCGGATTTTAATTTTTTTGTAGATCAACTACAGTTGCAAGAAATGTGTGAGGGAAGCCCTAAAAAAATTCATCTCCTCTGTATAATTCAAAATTTCCAGAAACTCAAAAGTATGATTTACTGAAAGTATCTTCATGATCTAAAATGTGACTTTTATTCTCCTGATATGTGTTCTGCACGAGTTTAGAGGTTTATTTTTCTGCTGTGGTCAGATGACTTTACCAAATATGGTCAAGTCACCTGAGTAAGAGTGACCACCAAAAATCCAAATATGACTCAGAAGAATGTCCATTGTCACTCTAGAATGCAAGATTTGGCAGGAGAAAGTTTACATAGAAACCAGCCTTGTAGTTAAGAAGTTACATAAGAAATATAGAAAGAAATATGATTCATGTAGAAATGTCTGTGTTAAACACAGGAAAGGACTCCACTCTGCTTCACTTTGATTGGGCAGAAAAACACAGATTTTCTAGCACCAATCAGAAGCCAGAATAACTGAAATCATATGGAACTGGTCTCGCAAGACCATGTCCCTAGGAGCTCTTCCACCCCAACTTGAAATCAACTTAAAGCCCCAGGGTCTCTGAGGATGTGTGTCACAGCAATAGCTAACTGCTGAACTTAGACACTTGTCTCCATCTTTTAAATGGGGTGAACACCTTTAAAAAAGCTAATTCAAGTTTCTTCCACCTAAGAAAATTTAGCCCTGATTGCTTTCAGGTTTCTTATTTGTAAACCAACTTTCTTCAGAGTACCTCCTCTAACAACCATTTGTGAAGTAAATTCCAATGACAATAAGAGCCAAGGAAAATGATAATTCCAACTCAGAACTTCGCTACAATTCATTCATACCATGAAGCAACAAAATTGCCTCAATACCACAAGAAAAAACACAAAGTAAAAAAAACAAGTATCAGAAACAATAGATTTACATTACAGCTTTTAATGCCTGGTGGGCAGAATTATTAAGTAAACATAATTCCAATAACAAAGGGTGGTACTAAGTTATTTCAATAGCTTCTCCATCTAAATGTTGACAAAAGATTGAGCCATTTAAGTAAACAAACAAAAGGTTGAGTAAACACTTACAAAGGTTTTGATCCTCCTGTCTGTACCAAATAAGAGCGCAGGTCCCAGCTGCGTCCATCCAGTAAATTGAAACCACATGAATCACCAGAGTAACCTGTCTGTTATCCTAAGAGAGAGCGTACAAGCAGTCCCTTAGACAAATATCGTCAAGCGCTGCGAAAATCACAGCTTTCGTTGTACTCGCCGACTCATCTTCTTCACCTTGAGGCCCGCGTGACATCCCTCCACATCTGTCATCAGGCTTGTTTTTGACACAAATTTGTCGCAGATTCTACACAAAAGAATACAGATGAAAAAATTAATATAATTTATAGCTTTCTCATCGAAGCTAACGCCCGAGAACAAGTGATGATTTGATGATTTGTAACTTCTTCGGTTACATTCATTAAATCTGCAAACCAGAGTAGCATCAAACTATGTCCCCCGGGAACATATTTACAAATTTTAGTCTTGCAGCGAAACGACCTCTTGAGCAAGTTGGTTGCGGTAGAACCACAATCGCGGCGAAACAACTTCAGTAGAAACTGCCATAAACTGAAGATTTTGTGTTTTTTAATAAAAAAAACTTTCTATAAAAGTGCTTAAGAGGACATTTAGAACGGATGTAATGTTTCTTAACGAAAGAGAATTTCGCCTCATTCATTACGAACGCTCTAAATGTACCTGGTTGAAGCTTATGTGAACCGGTTCAAAGAGGCATGCTTCAAGTGAGATTTTCACAATATTCCACTTTCCCTGAAATTGTACAGTCAGTTTTTGAGTCTGAAAAAGAGAGGGTTGCGAGGGATACTAGCCGCAGGGATTGTAAATTTTTGGACGACCACGTTAACTCAGGTTTCCCGAAAAATTGCGCAAGGCTTGAGCAGGCGACCCTAAGAGCTCTCCGATGTTTTACTCTAAAAAATTAACGTATAAACTATAAGATGTTCATTACGTTGAAAATAAACCCAATTAAGAAAGGAATGCATCGAGAGTCAAGCATCCTATTTGATAGTAAAGCGCTCCATTTCGGCAAGTCCAAGAACCGCGCGCTTCGCACCGTGGAAGGTAGTCTTGTAGCTGATCCATTTCGCTCTAATTTGCTACTCTGAAGCTTTAACATAAATCAGTATTAATCTAAACATGTAATTAAGGAATAAAATAAAAGATGATTTACTTGTAAATGGCTGCCTCTTCCTTTGATCTTCGCAAAAGCCAGGTCTTCCTTGCAATGCCGGCTGCGCTACCGTTCACAGTGCTACAAACTACGTAATCTGTCACCCAATTGAGTATGTTTATATTCACGTGACGATCACAACATGATGGAATGGAGCGAAGAAAGGCCTGAGATAATTGGGCATTTTAAAATTGAAAAACCCGCGGAAAATGCATCAAAAAGCTAGAAGAACAATAACCTCATTATAAATCTAACCATAAGTTTTATTTCCGGAGTGCTCCATCCCGCCTCCTGCGCCCAGAAGGTGAGAAAGCCAACTCGTTGGACTCCCTTATCTGGATCAACGGATTTGCGTCATCGATCGGCTATGCCTCTCTGCAGCTTAGCTTCTCTGGGCGCCCGTTGAACACAAAACTTCCAGCTTTCTGATGAAAATTATTGTAGATCATAGGTTATTATATTGCTGCTTTTCACTGATGTAAGATGAATCAAAGAAATTATGAGAAAATTCAGGTTTCGGCGAGATTCGTGCCCATGCCTCCCCGTTACTAGTTACGAAGCAACATGTTGAGAGTGAGGCAAACTTCAGAGTTCCCCCTTTCCCGTAGAGGGATCTGATCATACACTGCGATGCAATAAATTTAAGCTGACATGCAAATGGCAATCAAGTAAAGAAACGATCTTAGCGAGTGAGTTGCAATTTGGCAAATGCAGAGAAAAATTCAGATCGAATATCTCGCGCACAAAAGCGGCTACAGCCTGTATTTCCAAAGTCAAGAAGTGACAGAAGTCAAAGAGGTCCTGGTGAAGATCACAGGGATCACAATTACTTCATGAAAACCTCCTGACAGGCTGTATTTCCCTACAGGTAGCCCAGGCTGTGAGGTGATCATCTTGCGTAATAAGAGGAGGAAATATAAGAGTTTGTATGGGAAAATTTACGATCGCTCTAAGAAATGAAAATTAAAAATACAGTCAAATTTTCGATGAAAATACCTCACCTTACTTTCACAGTGAATTGCTTGTTTTCTGACCGCTTAATTTGATGCAACGAGGCCATTTTAGCGAGTTATCCATTTCTTGGTTTATTACTACTCCTACTGTCTTCTCTAAGGAGTAGGAAACCTAGAAATTAATAACTTGCTAAAATGGCTTCTTTTCAACATAGTAATCGGTCAGACAACAAGCAATGCACTGTGAAGTAAGGTAAGGTATCTTATTGAAAATCTGACTGTATTTTCACTTCTTAAGAGAGTCGCAAATAATCCATACAAACTCTTATATTTTCTCCATGACTCTTATTACGCAAGATGATGACCTCACAGCTAGAGCTTGGGCTCTCTGTGATCTCCCTTGAAACCTGAGAGCGACGAGACTCTCGCGTTTTTTCACCTCAGGCGTTTCCTTCGAAACGCGTCCTTTTTGACGCAGTTTTACCTATAATCCACACTAGCGCACCCGAAAACGCCAATTGCAACAAGTACTTTACGAAAACCGTCTCAGAAGTGGGACGTTTAGAAAGAATACCAAACTTAGAAGAATAACCCAGGGCCGCAATGTTAATAAATATCAATCAATGTTCTTGATCCTTCTTCAACGGAATCATTATCATCATCAGATCTCAGTTTTTTTTTTCAAAACAGACCCTGTCGTTGTGTTCAAAATCCTGCAGGGTCATTTGTTGTATTTCGAGTCAAAGCCAGAAGCGCGTGTCAAAGTCTGCACAAACGTTAAATGCGCGTGTCGATGCGCATGCTGTAATGGAATGCACAGGAAGCTGTTCCTATTGGCTGATTCAAGCACGCGCGTTGTTCCTCCTTTGCATCGTCATAAATGAAACATTTCAGTTGCAAAAGACGTTTGCTCTGCCCGTGTTTCGCAGAGAGAGCTGCTGACTAGTGACTTACCTTGAATGGGTGTTGCTTGGAGTACTTACAAACAAAGAAGACAACGGGAAAAGAAACAGAAAAGGTTTGAAGTCTTCGAGCGTTTGTCTTTCACTGCGTTAACTCTTTTTTATTGCATTAGCTGCAGACTTTTCTGGGACCGCAGTACAGCCACAGAAGATAGTCAGCGCAAATCCAAAATACCACTTCAGGACACGAGTTTTAGTTTTCCGTTCAAAAGTCGTTAAGTTGCTTAGGGTTAGGGTTTTTATTTATTCCAATTTTATTACAACGGATCACACACAATGATAATCAAAACAGCCCAAAAGTTGAGCAGAAAGCTATTTGAAATGCTGCGCAATCAATATGAAAAAAGGGACGAAAGAAAGAAAAAAAGAAGCGAACGAACAAAACAATTATATTATTTCCACAGCCACTATTTACCGGTTTTTTTTTGTGTGTGTGTGTGTGTGTAGTCACCTCAACCTAAAGCCTCGGTTACATCGACCAGTTATCGAAAAATAAATACAGTGGCATGTTTTGAAAAATGAAACGCATTTCTTTTTTTCACCTCAGGAAATGCAAGCTATCACCATTAGAGAGAGAGAGGATATTAAAGATTAAAGCTCAAATGGAAGTAGAAATTCACGCTTTGGAAGAGCAGATTTACCGTGAAAAACTCGCGCAGATTGCTAGGGGTAACAGACCTCAGATGCTGACCGACAGATTAAGGTAAAATTTCTTATTAATATTTTGCATTATTCCTTGATTCTAGTACATTAGAGAAAACTTGAATAATTGTCGACGGCCGGGAGATTCAAAAGCCTTGCCACCAAGTGAGGAAAATTCAAAGTCACGACCTTGTAAATCACCTACAAGCCTGTCATGATCTCTTGTGTTAATCAATGATTATGTTACCATTCTGAAAATGTTTTTTCTCTTTTTTTGTAATCTCACTTTTCACCTCCGAAGGTGGAATATCGGGGACATAATTTTCATACCTGTCGGTAAAAAACCTTTTGTGAAATGCGGAGTTTCATTTAGAGCTCAATATCTTGATGTGGATTGTTGAAATTGAACCTGTTCCAAGCGTTTTGTGAGTCAAACGGGGGAAAATAGTAAACGGTGTGACAGTGACAGTACAGCGAAAATGAGGGAGGTTTGGGTCGAGTCGCAATTTGATTCGAACCTCTCTCGTTTTTCACCACTCCGGTACTATTGAGCCGTTTACTATCATGCTTCGTTTCACTAACTGAACGCTCGGAAGTCTGGATTACATCCAACCGTTTGCATTTTGTTTCTAACGCGGAGATCTTCGCTTTATAGCTGGACTGGAATCAACAAACCAAATGCAAATTTACAAAGGGAAGGATATGACTCGCAGCTTGAATCTGAGAGACAAATGCTTGATGCACTCCAGTTCGCATGGTTTCAAAGAGAGAATCCGCTAGAGAATTCGATAGTGGGCTCACTTCCTAACCTAAGAGATATATGGCATTTTGAGAAAGTCAGGAACTCAGGAGCTGAGCAAAAACACTTTTATAGAGAGCGTTAGGCGACACTTGCTTGAGTGTGATTGTTGTAAATAAGGAAAGCTTAATTAAAATAATTTACAGCCAGTGTTTCATCTGTTCGAAAAGAAGAAATATTAATTACGCATAGCAGCACAATACTATCAAATAGTGCCACATTTCAAGTATTTTTGGAGAGGGTAAAAAACATTGGTTGGTGGCCAGTTTTCCGTCAGCGCGAGGTTCAACACTTTGACCCCTTAAAGTGACTGGCATTAGGAGCCCATTGCTGGGCTTCTCATAGCAGCTAGTTCAACTTACATTATCACCCTACATCAAACATAAACGCCATGATAATGAAGGAAATGATCATTATTAAAGAAGCTCTTCAAGGTGCTGACAAGTAGAAATTGTTTACCAATCAAGAGCTTCTTTAGCTGGTGAAAATTTCTTATTACCAATATTAATGGGATTACTCCAGTTGTAATATCAATAGAAGTTAAACTTACGATCCAAAAATCAAGTTGAGTTGGTACTCAATATATGTTAATTATTGCTTTAAGCAAAAGTTTAAACAAAACTAGACAATAATCAAAACTGTTAGGCTTACATCTGGAGAGTTTGCCATGATAACCTTGCTTAAATACCGCATCATTACAAGTGCTAAATTTTTTTAAAAGGCAAGTAACAGATATGCTAACACCAGAACAACTCAGTGAATGTGTCAAACTCTTGAAACAAATTCTTTTACACAATATTTGAGCTCAACAGGATTTAAACCCGAAATAAAAGAGAAAGGTGGTTCCATTAAAGCAACGAAGAGTTACGAAAGAAGCATTACACCATAAAAATACTCATAACTTCATGACTTTGCAGAAATTAACAAAGTTTGTGGCTTTTTACTTTTCTAATCTTCAGCATCGCCAATCTCGTCTATTATTTCAAATCCCTCCATTAAGTCCATATCATCATTCTCTGGAGCTACTTCTACTTTCGCTTTTTTAGCTTTTGAAGACTTGCCCGCACCTGTCGCAGCTCTGGTGCCCCGTTTTGTTCCTCGACCGCGCCCTCGTCCACGTGCTGTCCCCCCTCTACCGGCTCCTCCCCTAGCATTCTTCCGGCCACGCCTTCCAGTAGGGGTAGTTTCTCTTACAGGGGGCGACTCCTCGACCTCTTCCTGTGAACTCGTCGGTGTCTCTGGCTCCACAAGCTCGACGTTTTGACTGGGAGGGATGGAGACGGGTGGTATTGGCTCTTCAACCTCTTCGTTGTTCACAGATTCATCTGTGGCCATTGGAGTGAAGTCCTCCACATCCTATGAAAATAATGGAAGACAAAATACTTAAGCTGTGGTATGTTGCGCGAGACCCTCTGGGGTCTGGTGGTTAGGAGGCACTGTACTGTGTTCTTGAGAAGGCCCATTAATTTTAAAGTAGCTTTTGTCATCGAGGATAAATCGGAAAGTTGACGAAATGCTTAACCCTTTACACCCCAACATCTGTATGCATATTCTCCAAACTGTTCTCTGTACTTTTCCTATGGAATTTTCAAGGAGAAATTATCATAAAACAATCATGTGCCTCTTGGATGTGTGGCCATTTCCTGTATTCTCATAACCTTTCTGTTTGATTCAACAGTGATACTGTAGGGAGATATTAGATGCTAGCCACTTCTAGGTGTTGAAGGGTAAAGGTTATCTGTGCCATCAGTGTGCATCATATCCATTGAGAATACCAAATCACTAGGTTCGTGCTACTTAGACCAGAATAAGCTCAAGCAGTATGGACCGCTTGGCTCATAAGTTCACTCATTCTACATCTAGGTGAGTTTGTTAAGCTTGCCAGAGCTGATTCCAATCGAGTGTCTAAAATAATCCATGATTCTTATGGCTTTGCTTTACCTAGCTGTGTTATCAGTCCAAAAAACCACCATCTCAACCAATCAGATTCAAAACTAAAACCAATCCTGACTTGTTCGCTCACTTTTGCCCGCCTTTCAAGAAGTTTGCCTGTTTTTAGTTCAGGTTTTGAATGGCTAATGATGATGTCAATCTTTACTTTGATTGGCTGTTGTTATTGCTTTGATTCTGGTTTATCGAATCCAAAGTGAAAACTACTCTGACATGTAAACTCTTATCCTCAAACAAAATCACAATCTCACAACACATTAAGGCTTCTAACCTACGTGAATACAAAGGCAGCTCTCTACATCAAGTTGCTTATCAGAGGCCCCATTCGTGAAAGTTAGAAAAAACAAACATATGAAGATTTAACTACAGTTGCTTGGATCTACCCTACAAGATTCAAATGCAACACGTGACTTTTTTTCATCAAGTAGTTCTTAAGAATGCACTCACATCAAGTTGTGGTGTTGTTCCTGATAATGACAAGTCACTTTCTGGCACTTCCTCATCTCCAAACTGTTCTATCTGGCCGAATATAGGAAACTTTTCTTCTAAAGTACTTTCTCCATGTTCATCTCCACTTTGGTCTGCCAGAAGTGAGTCCTCATTAATGTTATCAAGGTCTCCCAGGTCTAAATGCACATCTGCAGCTTCGCAGTTGATCTGCAATTGGGAGTCTTCATCATAACCCTCTGGGGCTACCACAAATTTTGTTATTGGTACCTGTAAAATTTAAAATACAATTTGAAAACTAAACACAGAGCATTCTCAATACCAATCAAACTAAGTGCTTACCATCATAAGATATATCAGGGCACACTCAGCTAGGCCATCAAAAACTATTTTATAGTTTTGTCCCAAATGATGCACAGTGTTATCAAAAGTCTGAAATTATTCCACATTGAACAAGCGATTGCATCATAAGATATTTCATAACAGGACCTTTTAACAAGCTTAACCCTTTAACTCCTAGATCAAATTTGTAATTCTCCTTACTGTAAACCATACAATCCTTATAATGTTTGTTCAGACAATTTAGTATTGATCAACTTATTATCCTCAAAAGGATATTTTTCTTTATTCTCATCACTTATCTGGTTGATATTTTATGGATATTGTAAGGAGAAATTCTGTCTTGATCACTTATGGGAGTTGAAGGGTTGATGAATTGGATAGCATCATCCCCAGTTGGACATAGGGTGACTACTATGAAAGCTTGACAAGAAAAAAAGAAAAGGCCACCTGATCGTAAACAGTACAAACCTCTGGCTGTTGTTCACTCTGTGAATCCTTGCGATGGCTCCTCTGCTTTGAAGAGCTTGATTTAATGTCTTTATCAAGTACTTCATATAGCACTACTTCTTCTCCCTCCTTAGGTTCCAACACTTGCTCTAACTCTTTATTTCGCAATAGCTGGTGATCTTCATACTGTGGGTGTTCCTGGGCATATGTCTAGAGAAACAAATGGTTAAAAGATGGTCTATTCACTACATTTAGTCGTAAAATCACAATTTACGTTGATAGTTCAAATATTTTGGCAGTAATTCACAATTTAGCACGAGATTTGCCCTAGCTCTGACTTTTAAAATATTTGCAGATTTTTCTCACACATGTATTTAACACAACATCTTTTTTTCCATATAAATCAATTACAGATCAAAGATAAGACAAACTTACTTGATAGTTCTTTTGATGTTTCTTGCCTTTGATGTGAGTAATCACATCATTTCCACAGCGGATGAAAGCTTTGCAAAGGCGGCAGTTAAATCCTGACACAGCTTTAACAAATTCACAACCTAATGAGAAGAGAAAACCAGGTGTTCCAAATTGAATGTTTCACCAGGGAAAGTTGTTTAAAGTGCAATGAGCAGTGATACTGGTTAATCTATTCCATTCATTTCTTTAAGTTTAAGCTCTCCTAACTGACTGAAAATTTTCTCTTTGCATCACTTGTCTGCCTGAATGTGCATCAACACTGTGAGTGGAAATTCCTACCTGGTCACTGCTGGAAGTGAAAGGGCTGTGTATAACATAAATAAAAACTGAATATCCTTTTTTTCAATTTTTGCCCCACCTAACATGTTTCGTCCACTTGTGAAGCCCTCAATCTGAACCCTTGACTGTGTAACAGATGAGATTGTAACCACGTCTCCTTCTTTCATGGCTGTCTTTCTGGTGTTACATGTGTATTTAACAAAGTCTAAATTGAAGTCAGGCCCAGGAGAGTGAAGAGCAGAGGGACTAGATACCTCTTCACCACTGAGCTTTTCCCTGTCATCAGATTCATTAGCAGTCGACACCTCTTCTGTTCCAGATTTATCTGTTGGTGTTGTCCCCTTGGATATCAGAACAGAACAGGCAAATGAACAAATTAAATTTAAACGTAGTAGACTAAAATGCTCCTCTAGAGTTTTGGGTGATGGAAAAGATGTAAGTGCTGGCTTTTACTACAGAGCAAGAAAAGCACATCAGTTTCAATACTAAAAAAAAGCCAATTTAACAGGACAGCCAGAAAGTGAAGTTTGATTAATAGCTGAGTGGCTTATGGGCCACCACATCTCCCTTCACACACCATGCTTCCAACAAGAATCTGCAAAGCCTCTCTTCTCCCTATCACCCCAAACAAGACCTTTACCCCCTTTAACTACCCAACTTGACCAAGTGAGAATTTCTCCTTACAATAACAATACAATATCAAGCAGATGAGAATAGAGAAAATACCAATACAATAAGGGGATTATTAATTGAACCAATACCAAATTTTCTGAACCAACAGAATACTTGGCAAACAGATAAGGAATTACCTTTGAGCTCTTAGAAGTGAATTGTATTTACAAGCTCTTATTACATTATATATATATATATATATATATATATATATATATATATATATATATATATATATATATATATATTTTGAGTATTGTAAGTTTTTCATCAAGAAATGCACACTGTATAAGGTTTTCAAAGCTGGGTGACAGTTCAGCAAAATAATGAATTGGGGTTTGGTTCTAAATGTGTACCCCATGTTGAACAGCCAAAAATTATTAAACACCCCACAAAGGAAGGGGCTTCATAAGCTTTACTGGCAATCTCCCATTCCACTATCATTGGGATGATATTAACAAAAATAAGTCAACTGATGCAATAGGAAAGCCACAAACAAGATATTTACCTGACTAAAACTCCTGAACTTTGCATCCTCAAATTCCTGTCCTCGACTTTCTAGAACAGTCCTTGCATGTCTCTTTCCAAGAAGATGTTTATGAAAGCTCTAAGAACAAGAAAATTTTTACGTAACTGAAGACAACATCTTGTTACTACTTGTATTTCAAAAAATTACCCATATATGTAATAGCTTGTTCAAAATATAACCAAGCAACAAAGTGTTCTGTATGTTTTTTAAAAAAGTCTAAAAACTGGGAAACTCTTGTTGGCAACACTTGTGTTGTCTTCGCAAGACAACACAATGCATAAAAAGGTTTGAATCACAAAATTGTAACACTCCCTGAAGTGATTTACATGTACAATGCAACTTCTCCTACACAGCCATACATCACCCAGCAAACAGGTAATAAAAATACTCGAACTTATTATGTAGACGTTGTTATACCATGACATAGCAATCTGGTAACCCCCCAATTTATCAGAAGTGATTTACAGGAAGTGTGAGGAGTGGGATAATATTCAGATCTTTAGAGTGAGAGGGTTACAAGTCCATTCAGGACTTAGAGTGGTCACCTTCACCATACAATTGATCAAAGTGGTCAACAAGTAACTTCTCCAAACAACATCAAAATACCATCATCCAATGAATAGGTGTGAGAAATCACAATTTCATCAGCTAGAGTTTGATTTCATGCTTTGATGTCGATTGTTCTCAACAATTTAAAGGGAAATCAAGAGATCAATTACTCAAGTCTTGCAGGTACACAAGAATGAATTTTGATTTTATCATCACTCCATACCATTGGCAAGTTGCAAATAATCTTGCATTCCTGACAAATGTACTTGTTTCTTTTCCTGTCGTACAGAGAGATCATCAAAGAATCAACATCTTCTCCAAGAAAGTTTGTGGATTTGGGAAGAGGTGGCTGATTGAATTCATTTGCACGAGGTCTTTCATTAACACTGTCTTGCTCTTGCTTTTCCTCTTCATGCGGTTCCTCAACCTCCTGTTCATTATCACCTAACATAAATTGAAAGATCCCTTGATTTACTACCAAACATGGTTGGACTGAACCAATTTTTATGCAGGAATGATGACTAGTCATTTAGGAACACTAAAATAAAAAGGACCACATGAAAAGTTTTATTATCACTCATTTTAACCCTTTGACTGCCATGAGTGACCAGGACACAATTTCTCCTTACAACATAAATACAATATCAACCAGATAAGGGATGAGAATAAAGAAAAATATCAATTTGGGGATAATTACTTGATCCAATTTACTAAATTCTCTGAACTAACATTATAGGAATTGTACAGTTGACAGTAGGGAGAACAAAAGATTCGATCTGGAAGTTAAATGTTAAGAACAAACCTGATACCAAACTAACCTCCTTCTTCAACATCCTCCTCCTCAACTTCCTCCTCATTGACTTCTTCATCCTTGGTCTCCTCTTTGGTTGTGACAGAGGTCTTCTTTGCTTGGTGGCTCTGTGCTCCTCCTCCAAACTGCCTGCCTCTATTTTGAAAATTTGATCCACGGTTGAAACCTTGCTGGCCACGATTGCGATCTGGCCGATCTCTCTTGTTTGCAAAGTTACCTCCACCCCATCCATCATTTCTACGCTTACGGTTCTGCCGCTGCATGTCTCTTCCCCCAGTCCTTGGTATCAGTGGTGTGGGTAGTAACCCTCCTAGAGAATTAGGCATGGCACGCTTCACTTGCTGAACCTGTGCTTGAGCATTTGCGTTAGCTTGCGCCTGCATAGCTGCCAAGAGTGACTGAGTCTGCACCATGGCCATGAGTTGCTGCTGTTGCTGAGCCAACTGTGCTGTCAAGCCAGCTGTTGGGTTATTACCTCCTCCTGACAGACCCAAAGCTGTATGATGCACAATATAAAGTTAGATTTGTAACAAAACACATTTTGAAGAAGTGTGAAGAAGCATAGATTTGACATTTACATTAAGAACAAAAACAACATCTACATGTATGTGCATGTACATTCATTTCATTAGTTTTTGATGTACACCTCTGCAAGGAATTTGAACTCAAGACTGGAATTTCAATGAAGTAAAGAGAAACACTTGTGAAACATAAATTAATGACTACCTATTGATTTGATATTATTTTCTATGGCACAATTTCTATATTCAAGAGGGTACAATATATCAGAGGTTGAAAACTTTATCAAGACTGACATTGTTAGAAAACTTAGACTCTAAATAAAGCACACTTGGAAAAATCTCCAGAAATGTAGATTTTGGTAGAAAAACTAGAAAATCAAAACTTAAATGCAAGTTATTTACACTTGTGAAATTACATTTAGCTGGTAATCAAGTGTTTAACTCCACAAAGAAAACATTGATTCATCAAGTAACTTTGATGTTCTAGTGATAAGCCTTTCCTTCTTCAAAAAATTACATGTATATTCTCTTTATTGGCTCGTTTCACGTTGGTGACACTTGAGAAGATCTGAAATATGAATGTCTTGATGATACCATGCCTATTAGGGATATAATCTACTGTTCCACCCTTCATGGGAGTTACTACGGATGTGCCAAAGTATCAGCACTTTTTCAAGTACATGCACAAAAGCAGCCAACTTTGAAGACAAAATTTGCAATCTAAAAGGAATTTTTTTCATCCACACGAGTCAATAAAATTAACAAAAATTAGTTATTAATCAGCACGACCACCAAAGGGCAAATCTTTTTGTAACATCTTATCTTTACAATTTTGGTTCACAAGGTGAAGGGAATGGATGACCCCTACTTATTGAACCCTTTTACGAGTGACTGAGACAGAATTTCTCCCTACAATATGCACTAACAAGCAGACAAGAGATGAGGATTGAAAAAAATTCAATTATGGTCAATTATGGGATTCCTTGATCTAGTAAAAAATTCCTTAAACTCAAATCAAAAGTATTTTGTGGACAGGAAGGAGAGTCACTAGTAAGATCTTGAGAATGAAAGGGTTAAAACAGCATGTCTTGTAATCTAATGGCCCCCTCCCATGAAATATTTGTTCAGAGACTACATCTGCAGCTCAATTTAAGGTTAAGAAATAGCCCAGTTCCTGGAGAGGTTTCAGCCAGCCTAAACATATCCATGGAAGTAAGAAGAGCTCAGATTTATTCCACTTTGTCAGTGTTCTCATTACTTTAATCATGACAGGAAAGGGAAAGTTTCAAACCAGTACATCAATTCTTTTACTTGTGGAATTTTGCAGAATTTCAGGCAGTAAATTTTATTGGTTACCACCTGAAAAGGAGAACACTGTTTGCATTATGCCACACTGTGCCCTTTTGGATCAGAAGACACAGGTGCCCTGAATCTACTGCTTGTTTAACAAGTCCAAAATGTTGAGAGAACATGTTGCATCCAAAGCACCGACAAATAGTCATTCCATAGGTGGTGAGGCAGGGGAGGCTATTATGCATAATTACTGCCCTTCAGTGACAAAGAAACTAATTGAGATGCTCCATGAGGTACGATCACAGCTCACTGCTAATGCATTGTCACAAAGCAATTGAGGACACACCAAACACTGTTCACAATGCAAAAGAGGTTTTGTTGTAACAATGAATTACACAGAGGGCATTTTAGGAAATGTGTGCCTAGCCTGATGCACTTTAATCCCTAAGTGTCAAACTCCTCTGCCATCTCTGTGCTCTTTGACAAAACTGACTATAAGGGTCTACAAAAGCTGGGCTGAAAAATGACACCCATTCTCAGGGGTTTCAAGAAAAGCTGGTTACAGGATGTCTACTGCTGCCTGTAAGAACTCTTATTGCACTCTGTTTGGCCTGCAAGGTTCTTGTGCTTGAGTTTTGCCTTATGGCCTGTTTTTAGGGCACAGCTGCCCGTTACACCATAGACAGCAGCTTACATGTACAGGGAAGTTACTGAAACCCCTGCATTCTGTACACCAATGTCACACTGTACAAAGGACCAGCCAATTCTAGCCTTAATTCTGAGCTTCAACAATGAGGGGGCTGAAATTTTCTTAAATTTTTAACCTTTCATTCCCTTTTGTAGCCCAACAGAATTGCATTTTCCTGTGCCAAACAGTGTCACAATCACTTCCTAGCTAGAACTAGGAACAAAATGATGATGTAAAAGACCACTGAAGTTTAGGGTGATTAAAAAAACTCCTGCATTGAGTTCAAATTCCTTGGGTAAGGAGTCACCGTGCTAGTAAGATTCAAATCAAGTGAACTGCACACATGTCCACCAAAGGAAAGAATGAAACATAACTAAGGATTTTTCACCCTTTTTTATGCACATGAATATACACTTAAGAGGACAAAATCCTTGCCTTGAGTCAGAGAACTAAGCCTCAAAATAAAGTGTTATGTCCACTGTTTATCATCTACATTTTTGTGTTGAGTAAATGTTACATATTTTCAGTGATGTAGGCAAGTGAATGTGAATATTGACCTTCAGGTAAACACCACCAGTATTTCTCTTAACGACAATAACAAACTATGACGCAACGCAAAGTCACAAAGAAACCTGAGGACACGTCAATCAAAAACTGATTGCAAGAAAATGAAATGTAAGGAACTGTAAGGTTACACTTAAAGAAAACAGAAGTCAAAGTGGACACAAGAGATCACTCAACAGAGAGGACAAAAAACGACAAGAACCAGAGTTTTATGTGAACTGTTCCTAGCTAGAATCAAAACTGAACACAGGAGCTGATAGGGTTAGAGTGCAAACCATAAAAGAGCACTGCATTGGGTCATTAAAGCACAACTCGAATACTGAGGAGCTAAAAACACAACAGACCTGGAACTTGTAAAGGATTAGATGGAAGCTCTGGGACAGAGCGATCACCAGGCTTGGCACCCAAAATTCCAGGTCCCTGATTAGTAGAGCTTCGGTTGCCTTGAGATCGATTATTAGTGCTGTTGTTCCGATATCGATCTCTGTTTTGATTATGATTTCTATCATTCCTGTTATTACCACGATCAGATCTTGAGCTGTTCAAGTGTCCCAAAGGATAACTCACAAGATTTGACTGGCTTCCTTGCCGATGGTCATCTAAATATGATGAATAGGAGGGCTGTATTTAAGGGGATAAAATATAAGCAAGAATGTTGTCAGATAAAAAAAAAAAGATTAATAAAGATTGATGACTCTTAATTGTTCCTGACAGATTTAAGACAAACAAATGCACAAGTACAGGACAATAACAACTGCCAACCTGAGGAAACAACTGACATAGCAAGTACATGATGAATAGCTGGAATCAGTTGGGTGATGTTATAGATATATGTTGCCATACATCGCTTCTACTTACACAATAAAAATAGTAAGATCTTCAACTGCTTCAAGCAGATGTATGTGACTAAAATGGATGCACGATGTCTGAATGAAAAAAACACTGCTAATAAACTATAAAACCCCTCATTTCACAGCTGATGTTGAAAGATCCAAATGTACAGATCAGTTTTAAATAAGATCTTTCTGTTACAAACCCTGCCAAAGTCAACTGATCAAACAATATTAAATATGCATTATAGAGTCAACCTTATGGAGACAGGTGTATTTGAGTCCCAGAATATTATTTTCTTCATGTACTAAGCAATGTCTTCTCTTATATTCAGTGCCCAACTCTTGTGTATGGCAGGGAGCATGATGCATATAATTTTGCAATTAACTTGCAAACTTCATTGACTCTGTTCAAAACTTGCGAGGACCATAAATTCCTTTCCCTCTGAAGTCCAAATGCTGATAGTTTTGAATATAGAAAATACTAATGTAGAAACTGGACTGTTCAGTGGTCCAAATAAATTTGGTGATATTATCATAAAAAGAGGATTTCAATTTGAAATCCTTGGTCTCTCCATGAAACCATGGTACTTTAATTCAGAAAAAAGATCTCTTCTGAAGTGTCAAAGGCCTCGTGATTGACCACTTTACTTCACCCATAGTAAGAATTTTACAACAGAAATGAGACAAAACAAACAAACAAACAAGCAAGCAAAAAACAAGAAAATCCAGCTTGCCCTTCCATGAACGGATCGAACTGTAGCTTGTCTGGAGTTTTGTCCATGGACAAGAAAGCAAAAAAGTAGCTTGTGAATCAATCCTTCCTCTAGACAAACGAATAGAAGGGCTGCTTAAGAAATGGTGGTGGTGCTGCCTTGGTGTGGGGTATTGAAAATAATTGGTTTTATCAGCTATGTGATAATGTAAATTTTCCAACATAAAGAGTTTCTAAAGCTAGCGTTTCAAGCATCGGCCCTTCAAAACAACCAGACAAAGTGCTACTAAACATGATTTGTAGCAATATACCGGAAAGTGTTTCAAGCAGCCTCATCACATAATTGAATTTCTGAGGAGCTGCCAAATATTTTCCATTCAGCATGAGAATACAGTATGGAATGGTTTTTGGCAGATAGAAGACATGGCCATGATTGCTATTAAATTGGGAAACACTCCGTCAAATTCCCACTCAGATTGCGGAAAGACGGCAGATTCTTCTCGTGGAAGGTAAGTTTATAACACTTCTAAGTAAATATTTGAACTGAAATTCCAAAGCCGTGGAGAGCAAGTAAGCAGATGGATCAACAGCCGTCATAAATAGCTAGCGGCATCACATCAACATTTCCAGCTTCTGAGTAAAGTAATATCTGGATCTTGATGACTTTTGAATGAAAAGACGAAGTTCATGTACTACGGAAGAGCTCTCGCTACAAGCTTCGCACATTCAAATTTTCCTGCAGCAATATTGTAAACATAGTGTATTAAACATCTGTTTATGGCACAGTGCTAATATCATATGGAAATTTTGCGAACGGCCACACTAAACCGTTGTGCATATTCCTTAATGAAAGACAATTTCTACTTCTGAATTTCTAACAGAACTTTCTCCCACAAGCGCTACAACGAGAAAGTGAAATTTTCGGGTTACTAAAACGCTTGGAACCTTGGTCAGTTTTGGTATGAATTATTCTAACACGTGTGCAGAAAATTATAGGTGTTTCTTGTAACAAGTAACGATGGATTAGTACTTCCTTTCCGAATTCCTTTTCAAGCAACTAGGTAAAGCTTACTTCTGGCGAGAACCTCTCCCGCGAAGATCTCCCTCTAGCACCACCGCTGTCTCTTCGACCGTAATCATCGTCTCTCCTTGTATCTCGATCACGATCTCGGAAGCGTCTGTCATCATAGTCTTGGCGGTCCCGTCTCTGGTTTGACCCTGAAACATTTTGCTGGAAATTTGCAAACGCCTCAGTAAGTGAAGGAATGTTTAAAGGGTACCTTCCAAATCGTGACATGTTGTACGCGATTACCACAGCAAAATGGCAAAGTTAGCACTCTCCACGCGGTTGCGCGCTCGCAAAGTTATCCGGGATATCGAATACATATGCCTGCATGATGCACGTCCCCGGATATAGAATGATAGGATGGACTTCATCGCAAGCAAAATTGATCGGATTTTTCTGTGTCCCAAGATTATTTATCGAGGCTGAATCACTTTCGATGCAAGGCTACATATAGTAGAAAGAATGACTTAATGAGTGGGAGTCTGCAGGAAAAGTTATAGGTGTTTCAACTTTTCCAGAGACGCAGGACAAAAACAGGTCGTTGATTTATTGATAGTAATAATGATAATAATGATTATAGATGCTAATAATGAAAATGGTGTTAATAATGATACTGATATACATGGTAGTCAAGATATAAATATGTTGTTGCTATAATCCAGCGGTTGCATACCGTTGTTTGAGGACAGTGTCTAAATTTCTAAAATTCTCGATGTAAAGTTACTCGGAATCAAAATTAGTGTGAAGACCACTGAAAAGATACTAAATTGCATTTAACAGTGCTTCATTGCGCGCATACGAAAGATAGCAGTTGTTTTTTATTTTTCACTTATTAGAAGTTTTGGCGTGTACTATCACTAATTATTTTCACTCGTCATTAGTGAGGAACAACTTGTAAAAATACTAGACGATACTCTACGCCAAAGCGTCTAACAAGATATACATGCGTATCCCACTGTTCCACCTCGAGGACGGTTGGCCCTCGCTTCCCGCTCTTTTGTTGAGAAATAATGCAGATTAACGATTAAGGAATGTCTGCTTTTCTGTATTTCTTTCCCACTTCCCGGCCTGTCATCTCCTGTCTCCCGACCCTACCGTCCTTTTTCCTCCCGGGGTCTCACCCATCTGTCCCTCTTCCCTCAGCGAACTTGAAGGGACTATTAATCTTTTATTTTTTTTCGCACTGTGACGACAATGTTTAGTTATCTCCTGCTTACTAGGGCATAAGTCCATCAAAACACAATAAGACTAAAAGTTAAATTTTAATAGAAATATCTGTGAGGATTATTCCTACACGCTGAACTCCCAGCAATTTTTAGAGAGAGCCCCGTCTTCCTTGGTCTAAATCTACCATAGCATGTATTTAATATGTGGATGCCAATTTTGATAGTTGAAACGCAAACAAGGTAAAATCGAACGTAAATTCTCTCCAATGAAGCTAGGTTTATTCGATTTGTTTCTAACTAATGTTTAAAGTAGATCACTTAAAATAGTTTAAAAAATTCTTCCTTGATGCGAGATTTCTCAAGGCTTATTTTTGATTGACGTTTTGATATTATCAAATGAAATTTCATAGGGAAGCCCACTGCTGATTACGTATGTCAGTGCCTGGCTATTCACAGCCGTTAGGGACTGGGGCGAATGAATTGTCTATATTGTATAAAACAGCTAAGAGTGAGTACATCAAAATTTTGGAATGGTGTTGTAGATCTTCAAGGCAGGGCCAAGCTTGATCTTTAAAATGTTCACGATGTCGCTCTGGTTGAGTAAAAGGAAGGCCTCTCCATCGATTTGCTGCAAGAAACAAATAAAAAAGTTGATGGCGCAAGTTATCAGGCCCCGGTTGTTCGAAGGTTGGATAACACTATCCACTGGATAAAATTCTATACGTTGGTGAACGCTATAAATTTTGCTATCGCTTATCCGCCAGAAGTAATTTACAGAAGCAATTTATCCGTTGGATACCGTTATCGGACCTTTCTACAACTGAGCCCAGGCCTTCACGTTTCAGACTCATAATCTAAACATAACCGATTAATTCATACTACGAGTTCTGAGGGTCTAAACACGCTTCGTGACCATGCGCAGAGATAATTTCAGGAGTAGTTCATTTGGAGCGACAAGAAAAGTTCCCGTGAAAATCTTCGCCCCTGCGGCATTATTTTGTACTCGACATAAGAGGCACGAATTCGAGGTGGTTTGAATTTATACGCATAATCACAGCCATAAGAATGATTTGCAACGATTTGTTTAGGAAGCAGTGTACACGGTGGAATACACGGAGAAGAGAGGAAAAGGTTTAACTAAAATTAGCACCAGCCGGAAACAGCAGCTTCTGACAGAAACAAATGAGGAACGAAAATCATCAAGCCAGCAAGCCAAGGGCTTAAAAATGAGACACACGACACGGTTTGTTACAAAAGCTTGCTGCAGCAACTTGTCATTCTATGTCTCTGTGTTAGGCCATAAAATCTGCACTTTTATGTCCTTGACCAATTTAATTGAAATTTCTACAAAAGGAAACGCACTTTAGGGAAAGATGAACAATTACCTGTTCAATAAAAATTTTGGCTTGATCTCCACAACCCAGACATGTTACGTGACTGGCAACGTCATTGACATCCCAGCCCATCATTCGCTGACGCTCACTGGACAGTGCAGCGTTGTTATTACGGCTAATGGAAGTCCTGAGCTCGCTTAGAAACGCTGTAGGAAACCCGCTACCGAGAGGCCATGGGAACGAGAACGGTGACACGTGCTGGATGGCTTTATCTGCGACTGAAAAAAAACAAAAGGAACAATCGTTCTCATTACTGATTTACCGTGTTTTGGTTTATTTTAGTTACTAGTTTCGATACAATAATGCAAAGTCTAAGGAAATTGTTAACACTTCCGCCAAAGTATCCCAGCGACCAATTAGAACAAAGGTTACATCACCATTAGCCAATAAAAACTCAAAGTGAAAACAAAGAAACTGCTTGAAGCGTGGGAAAACGGGACTTAGCCGCGATTGCTTTAAGTATTACATCTGATTGGTTAATCCCAAATTACTGTCGACGCTGAATTGAAAATCACTCTATAAGCAGCTCGTCTTGGCTGTGCGAATGTCTAAACTTCTTGTGTGCGTGAGATTTACCTTTGCATTTGGCAAAGTCGGGCTTTTCCTCCTTGGAGCTAATTCGCCTGAAACGAAAAATTAGTAATGTAAGATAAGTCAATTTTTCTCAATGACGGCTTCAACATTGCTGATCAAATTTTTCGTCTCAAGTTCGTGAAAAAAGACTTCTTTCTTTATAAAATAGTAGTACTCAGTAGCAACGGCAACAATTTTACCGACTGACTGAAGTGTTTAGGGTAGAACTGTTGCAAAAGTGTCTGAAAATTATTTTTCAAGATTTCCCTCAAAAGGACCAGATAACTGCTCTCCTCTTGATTTTTCCTGAAGGACCCTTTTCCGTCGGTGGAATCTCTTCTAGGATTTTTCTTTTCTTTCTGTAAATGATTTGGGGAAAAAATCCTCTAATTTTCCTTTTTCATAAATTAAATTTAACGAAAAATTCCTCTGCACGATTCTGTTGTTTTACTTCCCCTACCCTTGCCCTAAAACTTAAAAAAATGGTTCCTTTCGCTGAAGAATTTACAAACCTTCCCTACCTGGAGGTACTGCGTGTGCCAATGACATTGGATTCTGGAATGCCTGCGGCAAAACTCTTGTTTGTGGGTGAATGAAGAAAGCTGGGTTTCTTTGCAGTTGGTGATTTTGATAAGGGAGATTTTGATAAATGCTTCACTCGAGGACAACCTGACAGGCTTAAAAGAGTAAGAAAAATGAAAACATAAATACTAAGAAGACCAAACCAAATTGGTGTGATGCGCGACTAGAACGCGTGCACTTTGAGTCTTTTAAAATTTGAAACACATCGTGAGTATTTGTTACAGGTACGATTTTATCGTGTGCGAGTTTTTCAGCTTTTCAAGTTTTTTGGTCAAGTCCCTTTTTAGAGGATTGTTCCTTTTGGAATTTAGGAGTTTACCGTGTTTCTATTAGATGGTGGTTTTTGCTTGTTTTCCGAAGAGGTTCCATGACCGCTCTCGAACAGTTAAGGAAAAACGTTCTAGTTAATCATCCTACAAGAAATCCTGGGAGAAGATCAATCGTAGACCCACCTGTACTCGTTATCATAGAACATGTTTAATGTTAATAAAGTGTAGCGCATGCGCACTTTCGTAAGGCTGTTCGCTGAGTATTTACAGGAAAAGTACTAACGTGTAGTGTGTCTTCCACTGTCCGCTCACGTGGCCGGTCCCGTCACACCCTGGTGTCGGACAGGTCCCATCTCCTTGGTTGGTGGAAATTTCTTCTGAAACAGGAATAGATTTCGATCCTTTAAAAATGAAACATGACAAATCTTTTTGTTCAATAGCAGCGCAAGATACTGCACAATTGCCAAAAATAGAGAGATGAATAACAGACTGAACACTTCCGCGTGCGAGGTTCAGAGCCGTTGACGAGCGAGGTCGCCTCAAATACAGAGAATTAAGTGTTTTAGGCCAGCGGTCTCTCACTGTGGAGAGTATATCCGAGACCAAAATAATTTTTTCCTGTGTTTTAGCGCTTATTTGAAGCCTTTTTGCGATGCCTTTGTGGCCTACGACATTGCAGGGAATAGGGTTGCCTAGCTTGCCCATAACTTAGTGAAATTAAACACAATTTAACGAAACCAATACCTTTAATGGCTTTCACCACTGCTAATTTTTGTTTGGAGGCGTAAGACCAATCCGACTCTTCAGTCATGGAATTATTAGAAAGTCGATCGACAAGACACGAGTCCTTGTTCAGGTTCTGCAGAGAGTAGGGGCAGCCAAACGTGCTGTGATGAGTTGAGTACTTCGCGCCTTTCACGTGTCCAATTCCTTTACATCCGGGAGTCGGACACGCCGCGCTTGATATCTTCTCACGCGTCGCTGAAATTACATATGCAACAAAATTAGCTGGAAACGTTCTTTACTTGACGAACAAACTTCAGACCATGCATATTTCGCATTAATCTACCGGCGTTCTATCACAAATGGTGTAATGTATAGCCAACAACTTACTGAGGGGGGTCTCCAAAGGATGACCTGTCTTTTCACACCACCCCACTGGGTAGAGATCCAAGCTGTCAGCCTCAAACCAGTCATCATAAATATCATCCCATCCATCAAAATGTATTCGCAGTCGGTACTCATTTACTTCAGCCACAGTGGCGGCCCGTACTAAGGAGGGATTTCTTTTGTCAACTGCTTCAAGTTTGTGATTGACTTCGAAAATTGGCGGAGCCCGCTGGAAAAGAAATCGATAGAAAATTGGTTGAGTTATTTGGGCAAAGGCCTCTGTGGACATATGGAGCCATTTCCAACAAGAGCAAAAGATATTAAGGTAAAAGAAAAGGGTAAAGAGTGAGGAGTGAAGTTTGTAAACAGGGTGCGACGGCTCAGATAGCGTTTTTCAGTGACTGAAATTGTTCATTTATCAAGGAATTGTTTAGATCAAACTCACCGTTTTGAAGAAATATGATGGAGCAGCAATGGTTCCTGTGGATTTGAGGTAATCCTCCCAACGAAATGTATGAAACTCGTCGTCTAAATTTGTAAAAATGAATAAATAAATAAAACAGCTTAGTGTATGAAATAACCCAAGAAAGGAGCTACTTCGCGATAACTTTATTTGTTATCTGCAACGACCATGTGAAACTACAAAATGTTAGTTTGGCAGGCAAGAAAAAGAAAAGATTAGTGGGATAGACCCAAATGGAGCGTGGATATTTCTTAAGGTGGAGCAGATGGAGACGATTTAAAAATGAGCGACTTTTTAATATTAGGCTGACGAGGTTCCTTTAAGTTACATAACCAGTATTCTGTAGAAAGGATTCGTTACATCTAGTACGCTTCTTTCCTTTGTGGCCGAAACTAAGCTCTTTAACGACGAGGATGTATAAGTGCCTGACACTCAAATAGTCACATGGTATGTTGTTACTAAAGCGTCAGTATTTACCGTTGGGTGGGTTAAGATTCCTATTATTCTCCTTACACCACCCCACAGGACGAATGTAAGGGCAGTCATCCCCACACCAGTAGTCATAGGAGTCGTCCCACTCATCAAAATGAACTAGGAAGTGGTTGCCAATCACATTTGTTACTGTGGCAACGCAGATTAGATCCGGGTTCATTCGATCCACGGCCTCTAGTTTCATACCGTTTTTAAAACCGTGTTTAGTTGGTGAGATCTGAAGAAAATAAGACGAAGGAATACGTCAAGCAATAACTGAGACATGAATTTACTTCTCGGATGACTTGAAGAGATACCGCAATTTTACTATGACGTCGGAGAACAATGACATAAATAAAAAGAAATGTCCTCAATCTCTACTAAATAGTGTAGTGCTAATGGTAAGCACCCTTGGCTGGGAATCTAATGGGTTCGAATCCTAGCCAGTAAATGTGTTGTGCTCTCGCCAGTAAGAGACTTCACTCTCGGAGTGTTTCACTTCATCCATGAGGACAAATAAATACCAGCGATAACGAGGAGAAAAAGAGGAAATTCTGGTCCAGGGAAGGGGTGGGTAGGTGGGGGAACCTATTCCATTCAGGTTCAGCATCATCATTCCTAAGTAGTGACTTCAGCATTTGCGACACGTTGAAAGAAACCGCAACATTAGCCTTAAAAGACAAACTTACAGGTTTGAAGAGATTTTCAGGAGCTGCTTTTGCCTCACAAGTCTTCAAATACTTATCCCAGTTGAATTCGGAAGATAACATGCCTAAAAACAGACCAAGACCTTATAATTAAGCTTCAAAAGATGAATCAATCCAAATGCACGCGTTTACTCAAATCACGTAAAATATCTCCTGCGTATTTCGCTGGTACCAGCTGATCTCCTCTCAATCTTAACAGCGTCCAGTGCATATGTGATCAGTTTTGGAAAAGTACAATTAAGTTGTCAGTTTTTGCAAAGGGGGGGGGGGGTAGAGCTATGTCCCGACCCCGATTCTTGCTTAGCAACCCCCCTCCTTTTCTGCCTTCTATAAAAAGTTCATCGATGTATATTTCCGATCTGTGGGGTAATGATGTGAGAAATACTAGAACTGTATCCAGTTGTGGTTTTTACTAAATTCATTTGTTGTGTGTTGATAATGACTAACTCCACGACCTAAAAAGAACTACCCAAACTGACTTTGTTTTCTTGAGAGAAGAGGAAAGGACAGCTAAACACTGGAAGTATTTTCAGTTCTCCACTTACTTCGAGGAGGATGAAGTTTTTGACCGTTCTTCTCACACCAGCCAATCGGAAAAATAAATGGTGAGTCGGCGCTGCTCCAGAAGTCATAACTCTCAGACCAACCGTCAAAATGAAGCCTCAATCGGGTGCCCTTTACCCTGACTATGGTACATACACAAATGTACGACGGGTGCTTTGGATCGATCGCCTCAAGTTTCATGTCCTGTTCGAATCCGCAAGACGTTTTGTTTTCAAGATCGATAAACGGATTTTCCTGTGAAAACGCGAAAAAGGTAACGGATTTCAGTCAATGGGGTATTTCTGTATGGCCCTCAGCCTTTTCTGGGTTTTTCAGGGATATCTTACACTGATTGTCGAAAGTGATTCGGGATGGCACTGGTTTTCTTAACTTTGTTCGGTATTTAGCCCAGAAAACTAGCTTCTTTCTCAACTGATCAAATGCCAAATAACAAGCAAACAAAACGTGGCTCTTTTTCCTTTAACTTCCTGTTGGCTCTTTACCATATATCTCTTCTTCCTGATCAGCCATTTTGATTACTTTGGTTTTACAACAATTAATCGATAAAGCGTTCTTACCTCCTTAATCAGTCCTCGCATTTCTTTATTCAAACAAAAGTAAATCGTTTGTGTTAAAAAAGGGTTTCTCTCACGTTGGATGATATTGCACACCAGCAATATCTCAAGGTTCAACAACTGGCCGGGAACACTTCGTGTGAAAAAAGGAAATTGACACAAACCTGAAGAAATACGCTGGTTGGAACAGGGTTTGAACCACAAGCTGCTAGATAATCTGCCCATACAAAAGGTTTGGTTGAGTCATACGGAACTGCAAAATAACAGTAATAGTATTTTAGAGCCTTTTAGTTAGATGGTTATCTAATTCAGAAGACAAATTATCGAAATTTTAGTGGAGATGAGTATAAAAATACAATTGCAAGAGCTGTAGGAAGACGTTCAAATTTAGTTGACTCAGGACAGACTCAGTTGTAAGTCAGTCTGGGTAGATTTTGTTTCAAGCAATTTTGAATTGATTGTGGAAAGAAATATGAGATTGCTCTGGTTTTAATCAACGTTACTAACGAACCAATTAAGAGCCAGCCCTTATACCAATCAAGACCAATCAAGACTTGGCGGCTTGCGTTATCCCGCGCCCCGCGTGTTTTGCTCTTGGCTCTTATTGGCTATTTATGATATTTCCCTCAGATCTGATTGGCCGTTGACATTACTTTGGTCTCGGCTTGTTTACGGCAGTGAATCAAGACTTGGCTCTTGCTACAACAGTTTGAAAGTCCCTGGTTGCTGGTAGCAACCTGAAATTTCAAAGTGTTCTTATCAATTATCACTCACCGTCTTCGCCCTTCATGAGATCTGTTGTGTTTAAGGAGGCTTTCTTAAACTTCAACTTGTTTTTCATTCGTTTTCTTTTAACTTTAAACGTCCGGCGAGCTCCCAACATTTCTTGGTCATTCTCTGGCGTAGGCGATGTCTCCTGAAATTGACAGAAACAAACGTCCGGCTTTCATTAACCGCAAGAACTCGAGTAACTCGATCAGTAGGTGATTAAGTGATCCACATACAAAGTTTTGCCTCCTATCGCCCCACTGACCGTATGTGGGAGAGTGAAAAAAAATTCCATGAAGTTTGTCTGACAACCAAAATTTTACTCTGGATAATTACAGAAAAAAAACGCTGCAAATAGACTTTTCGTAGAAAACGACTATTGCGAGGAGTTAGAAGTTGATCATGGGAGACATTCGGAAAAAAATTCCAAACCAAAATATATCACTACAACTAGTCCCACCGACCTCATAATTTTCCTTCATTTTTGTCGCCAGACTAACCTAACCACGCGAGAGAGAAGGCGTTGGGGAACATAACATTTAATGGGGATGGCCTTCGTCCAACTAGACTGTAGTCGGCTTTCTATATTTTTTCAACAAACTGACAATATAATCCAAACTTCCTCTCATGCAGGGCCTGGAGATACTCACATTTTGCAAATCCCCATCATGAGGCGACAAAGCTTGACTCTTAGATTTATCTTTCTTTTTCCTTTTGACGATCCTGCCGTCCACTGTTTTAGCATGTCGAACGTATTCCCTGCCTTTGTTTCGTCTACCGGTGTACACGCCCACACAAGACAGACTGCAAAACCTTCCAGAGGCGGAGAATTCATGAGGCAGGCCGTATTTCCCACAGACTTCACAACACAGAATGCTACTGGTTTCCGGAGATATTGACGAGGAATTCGGGCTTTTCCCAGAAACTGTTTTTCGCAAGAAAAAAGAAAAGGCTGATTTTTCTAGGCAGGTTTTAGGCATGGTATCGAAAAATAAATTCCAGTCAGCAATTTCCTCGAAAAACTAACCATGCTAAAAACGGTTTACGTTGGATTAGAGCAGCTTTCAACTGAATAGCAATCAATACAACGGTTAACCTCATCATTAAACGATGAACTCAAGTAAAAACAGGCAACAGTAAAAACAGGCAACTTGCTTGAAGCGTTGGAAAACGCGAGTGGCCGAGTTGGGATTGGTTTTAGTTTTTCCATCTGTTCGGTTGAGATGGTGGCGCGAGTTTTCTTGAACTCAGCAACAGGGCAAAGTGAAGAAATCCTGGATCACTTAGGACACGTAATTAAAAGATTCCTTCAACAATAAAATGTACTTTATATCTTTTTACCTTTGCTTTTCTTGCTCTTTTTGTTGCTTTCTCTCTCATCCGTGCTTGTCTTGCGGTGTTGCGTGGGTGTACTCCACTCGTATTCGCCTTTGTCTGTTTCTATGGTGCTGATAATCTCCAGAGTTCCAAACTCAGTCAGTTTGAACTTCAGGTTGCTTCCTAAAAACACCACAGGGACAACTATGTAAGTACTGCGTAAACGGACAACTACAGGACTCAGAGGGGTGGAGGGGTGCCTGGAGAAACATATCCTAAACATTTTATCAAAACCTCCTCCTTTTGGAAGTTGTAGCATTCTTGCCGAGTGCCTCAGAGTTCAATTTTTCCGAGTTTACTTGTATCAATAGCATGACTACATCATCTTTCACAACTCTTAGACTGGAATTGACTTGTGACGGCACATGACTGTACCTGGTAAAGTGGCAATTCCGTCTTTCCAATCTAAAGCTCCAAATGGATCGTCAACAACATCCTCAGTTTTCACCTCAGTCTTCTTCGTGTCATTATTGTTGTCATTGTCAACTGATTGCTTAGTAACAGCGTCATTCAAGTCGCTACTATCATTTACAGAAGGCTTCTTGTCTTCGGTGACATCAGAAGGCAGAAATAATGGAGGTGGTGTACTTCGTTGCGGGAAAGGTTCTGACCTTATCACCAGGTTTTCTGCGCAGAATCAGGCATACATGTTTAATGTCTCACTAAATAGATTTAAACAGCTGGTTTTATATGATAAAATGCTCATTGACTGAGTTTGGTTGGGCTGGACGGGAAAATACTACGACTTTAGGTTGAGTGAGGAGCGAAGGAAGTATGGCGACCACGTTTTTACGTTAAAATTGTGTCGTTGTCACGGGAAACTGGCTGCGTTCCCAGTGATGATATGATTATTGGCCTCTTTCAGCGGGCTTTCACCTTTGATGGTTGGCGACGCACGGCTCTTAAGATTGGGTTGCCTCTGGAAACGAGGAAGGTTTCCGGTGACAATACCGTAATTTTTTACTTATTAACTTTTTACTAGGCGGGCCGAAATCTTAAGTCCTCGAATCCGACCGGCTAATTGCATGCTGGTAGCCGAGTCAGTATTTAACAAATGGACCACGGTCCGGAGTTTTTCTAGCAAACCATCGAAAAAAAAGTAAATTTACCGGTCGGTCTAAATCTCCCAAACGGACCTCACGCCCGGTAAATAACAGATCTGTAAAAGAGAATATTCTCTTGATATGTATCGAAAGAAAAAAAACGAACATTTCTGTTTTCGTCGTTATTAATTCAAGACATTGCTTTTAATGCTGTTAATTGTTTAAAAAGAGATATCTTTTAGTGGCATTTTAGTCCACACGAAAACAAGTACGCTGCGCGAGCCTATGATTAGTCTCGCCCTTCGTCTCTGTGTACGACCGGAACGATAATAATTTTGCAAAGCTCTTGATAGTGACTATTTATTACCATTTGTGGATCGATCCTGTTCTGTTTGTTTGTCCTCTTCGCCCTCAATTTTCACTTTCTTCGCGGGTGGCCCATAAGACATTCCTATGAAGGGATTTTTCTGCAGTTCACCATTTGAAATTTCTCCATAAATCCACTATTGAGAAAAAGAACATAGTTAATAACAACAGTTGGTGTAAAAATTCGTGGGTGCAATTGTTGAATAGTTGATTTATACAAGAAAAAAAAAGATTCAATTGTTTAGATCACTTTTGGTTTTTGAAGTTCGTTTTTTTCACACCGAAAGCATCTTTGCGCAAATTTTACTCCGTAAACCGTAAAATTTTACTTATTAAATATATGAACCGTTCTTGATCCGCAGACACATACGCAAGAAAAAAAAAACAGAACCACAACAACACCAAAAAACAGGAAAATCTCTTGTTCTTTAGCATTTCGCCCATTAACCAAATATATTTGCTGCTTGATGTTATATGTACTCCAACTTAGTAACCTGAATGCGTCATTTCAATACTGCAACATCTACAGAATATTTATTGTGGACACCTCTTCGCCCAGAAGTAATTCATCACAAAACTATCTATGTACTACCGTATACTTTTTTCATTCTTTAATTAGGAACTAAAAAAAAATACATAAGAAAAATAACACAAAACAAAAAAAAGGCGGCGTCGAACGAATTCGTGGATGCTTGCTACTTTTTGGCCCAAATCCGTAGATCCGGCGCCATTTTTTGCAAATCCGAGGATTCATAAGCCACCCAAGAATGAAAAGGAAAATTAGCTTTTGAAAAGGTCGTTCACAGCACTTGCGTGACGATTGAGATTAAGTATTAAATTTAATATCAGAAAAAAAAAACAGCTTCGACATGTGGAGACAGATTGACCTTTAGAGTGTGTTTAACCTCCTCGCTGACTGAAAGCTTGAGCAAAGCGAGTTATTTCGTTCGCCGGACCAGGCGTTCGGAATCGTTCTCTGTGTTTTTTCTCTTCTCTTTTACTTGGAACTGACTATCGTTTATCAGTAAACGTTTACGGTATGAAACAAAAGTATACACTTGTGCGACAAGAAGGAAATAATCACGGTCAAAAGTCATTTGTCGATAATCATGAAATCGCTTCGATTCAAGTCTCGTGAGGAAGTAAAAATTTGTTTATGACCGGCCGAAATCAGTGGTTGCGAACCTTGAAGATATAGAGTTTTGTAAATTTTCATTTGAAAAAGAAACATCCCACGGCACGATATTAAAAAACTAGAATTGAAAACAGTTTCGTCCCTTGAAAAGATCTCTGGTAGCAATTATTACACTCTAACTGAATATCGATTTCGAGAATCCATATTGCTAACGATCGGCGAAAGAATATCAAATCGAGATGTTACCAAAGAGCCGCTATGATTTTTAAAATGAAGAACAAACAAAACTGAGATAAAAACAGTTTGTTAATTTTTTCTCAAATCAATCGTCACGTTATTTGCCAGGACGATCCAGAAACAAGGAATGAAGTGAGGCGGTGTCCGTTTTCCTGTTTCGCGTTGAGCAAGAATAATTTTTTCATGACGTCAATTTCGGACTTTGGTCAATTTAACTGTTACAATGAACAAAAAAGAAGTAAAACAAATGACAGAAAAGCCTTCAAAGTAAATGCCACGATGTGCGACCCTTGCAGGATGAGGTCGACTGCTTTTGTCATGGCCATCTCAGCCTAGTGTGAAATGTGAAAACAAATCCGCTTTGGGCAAGACACAGAAAAGCAGTAATAATATTTCTTTTCGAAATCGTAAATCATCAAAAACTCTAATGGACGCCCGGGAAAAGGGTAGCGCTCTCGAATGTTTCGCCTTCCACGGAGGAAAAAAAGACTTAGAACAAACAAAAGTAGCTAAATGGCATCAAAATGTTATGAAATCAATTCATAAATTAAAAGCTATTTTGGGAACCAACCGCGAAGCAACACGGAAAGCGTGAAAAGCTTCGTCTTTCCGGCCGTACACAAAAATTAACAAGATCCATCGAAGCCTAGACGTGAAATACCGACGGAGCCAAATGCTTTTGAATGACCGATATAGCGTGAGTGTAATTTCCTTCCATCACGCTGATCTATACGCTTGAGGTGTTTCAATGTCTGAATATTCAATAACCTTTGGGTTCAGACACTTTCGGTTTGGAAAAACGACTTTATAGGGCTTGAATTTCCTGCTTAATCACATTTTTCAACAAGATGAAGGGTTGATTAGGTTTTTCGAAACTTTCGCTCGAAAATGAAAGATTTCTTGCGAAATCTTAACGCAGAAAACCGAAAGGATCGCGTTGTAGCGCGTGAAATACTTGACCTCGTTTCCATGTGAAGACTTGTTTTGCTTCTTTGGTTCTTCAGCTCCATTGTGCTTTGTTATATCTTCACAAGACATGTTGCTTGTTCCTCCTCCTGTAAATATCGCCTACAATAAAGAGAAGAGATGGCAAGCGAGTTAGTACGCGACAAGTCCTCCTGAAAAATAAACAAGCGCTGAAAAAGAAGAGACCCCGTTGAAAACTGAACTGCCGGGTGTTAAGTGTGCGCTAATATAGAAAACACAACTCACTTTTAAGTTGGCCAGAAAAAAACCGAAAGTTCAAACTCGAGTAAACGAAACGCGAAGAAAATCTAACCCCGCTTAAAGTTCATCAAGAGTTTTGAACGATGTCGAGAAAAGTGCCAAGAAAAACTGCAGTTTGGAAGTTTGGCGTTCAGTGCAAGGCCACTCCACGCAGAAATGCAAAAAAATTGTTCATCCGATACGAAATGTCTGTCAATCATTCACTTACAAACAAAAGCCCACGTGATAAGAGTTATTGTTATGCAAAATGCCTGGAATCTTCGAAGCGCTGGCGGAGTTATTTGAATAAACGTTGAATTTAAATCAAAATAAAGATATCGGTAACTACCTGCTTGGATCAGTGGCTTTCTTCTCTTAATGAAGAGGGTAGAGAGTGTTTAAACACTCGTTGTTGATGGCTTGATGTGAGCGCTATTCTAAGTTATCCTCGCCTAACGGGAAGTTGAGCTTGAAATTTAATCTGGGGAACGATTATTCAGATTAAAATAAAACCGCAGAGAAAATAATTCGCAACATTGGACAGAAGATGATGAAGCAAAATAATTCCTTACATAACTTTTCAGCTTATTTCCTTTCCCAGTTTATTACGACTCGTTTTCCAATTACATAGGAAAACCAAAAGAAGAAAACGCTGCCATGAAAACCAAGTGTGTTTCTGTGACCTAGAAATGCTCAATTGTTTTTCGTTTTCATTGCGCGTTCTTGAAAAAGAAGAATTTTAATTACTCTAAACTGTCGTTGGACCTTTGACATCAAAAGCGACTATGTTTTTCAAAGGATTTTTTTTTAATTTAAAAAGAAAAGGGAAATTTTGCAAACCCGCAAAGATTGTTCAGATTCGCTGAGCTTTTCTTACAGACGAAAACGGGTTTGAGGGAAGTTTCAGACAAAGCGGAAAAATAGAAACCAAACAACCTCCCGCGGGAGAAGAATTCACGCCACCAACCTACAGAGCGTTTAAAAATGATGAATTGTTTTTTTTATCTGCTTCTTTTTGGTGACGTGTTGAATTGGAGCGACTAGCCGCACAGCCTCAAGGACGGTAGATTTTCGAGAAGGAAACAGACGTTGAAAATTCCTATTTGCATCTTATGCCAAATAACCAGAAACTCAATAAAAAAAATTCAAAATCATGATATGGTTGTGTAAGTTATCTCATGTCGATCTCTCCTACTGAATGAAAGGTTTACTCTAAATGGTTGTTGAGTTTTCGAATTTCCTCGTTATCAAACTGAAGAAAAAAGGAAGTTTCCTCAGTGAAAGCGAAAACAAGTTGCTATAGCGGTTTAAACGTGGCTACTTAATTAAAGGGTAGATTGAAGACTCGTCGTAAGTTAAGTAAATTATTCACATTCGTTTTGCTTGTGAATATCGCCGCTGTCTGGTATTTTCTAGCCTAAATGATTCGAACTTACCCCGTCGTTTTTGGAATGCGTTCCCTGTCGTTGTAATTTTTGAAACATAGAAAGGAAATGCGATTACGTTGAGGTTTTTAACCAGGAAACTGTTCAAAAAGCGAGGAATGTTATCGGGAATAACATAGTGGAAAGCGCTCAAGGGGTAAGTCATGAATTTTAAATTAGAAGTCGAATAATTCTGGCGAGACCTAAAATGCTGTGATCAATTATCAGCTTTATGCGTTCAGGTTTAGTTACTAAAACCATTTAAATCTGTTTTGATGGATATGACTATGCTATTTATTAAAAGCCATCTCAAGTTCAGCTTCCCACGGCCGTGTAATGATTGTTGATAGGTACCTTTCAAAATGAAACATAAAACGATGTGTTGTAGGTTTTGTTAGCTTTACATTTTCATTGATGGGCAATGCTTTTCTCTTTTTCAAGGGAAATACAAATTGAAACCAACTTATCAAAATGATTGGAAAATAATCAATTAGAAAATCAGGAAGGTTGATGAGCGTTAGAGACTTTGTTTCATTTCATTTCACTTATTTTTGTTTTTCTTTGTTTTTTTCATTAAAACGGCGTACTTCAGCCGATAAAGTTGATAGTGCACGTCCAATATAGAGCAGTCAAGAAGCCAAGTTTTTTAAACGATATTAAACAGGGATGCTTAATCATAAATCTGCTAAAAAAATTTTCAAAGGGCCGGAAACTCTTACAAAGGAGAGCCCGCTTCCAAGTGTGAATATGACGTGAATCTGTGTACTGGGCAGCACAGACGAGCAGGGGTAGGCGGTCTTACAGGTAAGCGTCATGTATTTTACCATCGACTCATTCAGGCGACATTTTGTCGAAGTTTTGTGGAGAGAAGCCAAAAGATTTTACCAGTTGAGAGAGTTGGCGGCCCCCTTCAGATTTTCAAACAAGAGTGTTCGCATTTATCATAGTTTCGTTTCGGTTTGTAAGTTGAGGCGAGGCCTTTTACTCAAAATTTCAAAGTGTAGTGTTTGCACTATGGCAAAAATTTAACCAGAGATAGAGACATACTTAATAGGAGCTTTTTTTGTCGCCGGAAGTGGCGCTGCACCACCTTATGTATTTGCTGTCTGTGAAGAGTCGTGGAAAAAAAAAGAACTTAAAAAAAAACAACAACAGTTTCTTTCCGCAACAGCGAATTTGACGTTTTTGTTTCAAAACAGTCAAAATAGCCGTTAGAATCCAAAAAAAATTGTGATTTTTATAACTAAAATGTATAATCTCCTCCTCCTCGACGGGGCCCCCCTCCCCCTCTCAGAAGAAGTAAGGGGCTGGTTCTCAGGCACCGTCTGTTTCCTGATCAGTAAGGATTAGTACATCACCAAAGGAAACATCTTGTGAATTTTCATGACTCGGTTTAGTAGGTGTAGTGCGAGTAATATCGTTTGATAACAAAAGAAGTATCAAGTGTTCCTTCGGGCGCCTGGGAGAAACTGTTCAGCTCTGAATTCCATCGACCGTCTGTTTACTTTTTGCAACGAAAACTAACGCTTTTCATGTCAAATTTTGGTAGATTTGCCGGGAAAAGAGGCGTAAGTACCGTTCATTGGTGACTTCATCAGCGTTTGCTGAAACCTGAGCAACCATGATATATTTGTATATTTTATGTTGCGTAAGTGTTTCTTCGTCGAATCTCCACATAGAAAGTGGCTGTCCTCAACGTGGCACTGTATTTTGCATCTTGAGCTCTATTTGTGAAAATTCTCTAAAGATCATTTTTGACAGGATATTTTCTCTTTCTGGGAATGTACTCAAATTGCTTTAAGTTTTGCGCAAGGAAGTTAAAACTTGCTAAGCGTCTATCCCTGATTTCCGATGATTTAAATTCTTTCCGGTTTGTGTTTTTGTTTCAGATGACACAACAACAACAGCAGCAAACACCCCGAGTTTAACAGGCTTTACATATCTAACCGCATTTTGATAAAAACCATACTTTTTTTGCATCGTTAGAATGACTTTTTGATCGTGAAGTCTGATCTTCCGGTTGATGGCAGTCCTGAGAAGGACTGTTGTCGGTAGAGGTGAAGTTTCGACGACTTGAGCGGAAGTCACTTGACTCTGATGATAACTTCCGCTCAGGTTGTCGACTCGTCAGTTACCACTTTCGACAACAGTCCCTCTCAGAACTACTCTATTACTATCACAGACCTCTAGCTCTATCACTCCCGGGTTCAAACCATTTACTGAATACTGTTTCTAGTGCTCGGGTTTGAACATCTCTAAATATAAGCAAGATTCGAACAAATGCAATGTAATATGATGTACTGAGTTTGTTAACGTGGAACTCTAGTTGCATGAAAAGTTGAACCCCGATAACGCAAACCCTCGATAACTCGAATTCCCCGCTAACTCGAAGCAAAACTGATTTCCCTTAGATTTGCCCCATATATTTACTGTAATTTTAACCCCAATGGCTCGAAACCCCGATAACTCGTGGCGATTTTTACTTCCCTTCAAGTATTTTTCTTTGTAATTTTACCCTCGATAACTCAGTCGATTTTCACTTTTGCGGACTAATGAGCCATAACATTTTGAACCGGTAGATTACATTTAATCTCATTTATATATTACGAAAAATTGACCTTTGTCGATATCACACGCTTGTATGTTCGTATACAAACAGTTTTGACAGTTCTTCCCGGCGAAGAGAAATAATAGATGACGCGTAATCTGGAGTCGACCTGTCGTTTGTCATTACTTGTCAATCTTGCCCAGTTCATTCTTGAGAACAATAACATGTTTCTTCTTCCCCTCAAAATTGAATAAGCAAAACTGATTTCCCTTAGATTTGCCTCATATTTTTACTGTTATTTTAACCCCTATAACTCGAAACTCCGATAACTTGAAGTAATTTCAATTTCCCTTAGCAATTTGAGTTGGGAGCTGTCACATCCCGGGCGTCGAACCGGGAAGGAAAAAATAGTCCGAAATATGAATAGTCAACGGTGAAACAATTTTAATACTTCATATAGAAAGAGATCATTTATAGTTGCAGAAAACAATCGTGTTGTAAAGCCGAAATATTTCCAAGTTACATTTCTCTGATTAAAAAGTTAAATAATTTTCCAAAAGCTTTGACTGTGACAATACTTTTCACTGCTATAATAACCAACAGAGGCATCTGGAAAGGCATCGGTGACACCGAGAAAGGTATCAAGAAGAATGATATTTACGGTTTTTAACTTGCTGTGTGACGAAAAAAAAAAGTATCTTGACCGGCTTCCGCTTGTTTAAGGTGTTAAACACAGTTGGCGTGCTTTCTACTTGAATTTTGTAATCTAAACTGTTTTTTCCGGAAAATGAGAAGCTAAGCAACTCAACAAAAATGTAGTCCTCGATTTTTATATTTTTTGAGCCTTTAATAAGTTTGTATCCACCCATTAAAGCATATATGTACAGTCAACACTTTTGAAAAAATTGCTTAACTTTTTATGTCGCGAAGTATACTGTTAACAGTGAAAGATGTTTTTCGTCTCTTCACAAGTGTGGGACGAAGAGAAAATTCTGAGCCGCCACGAGGAATCGAACCTCAGACCTACAGATTCCGCGCTCCGATGCTCTACCACTGAGCCACAGAGACTCTACGGAGAGCGAGGTCTATTGCGAACTGAAGTTCATATGACGCGCGTTCTGTATACTGCTAGGATCAGCAATGTCGATAGCGTCATGTTTGTGAATAGATTAAGAGAGATGGTAAGGTTTTGAGCTAGGTAAAGAAAT